GCGGGCCAGGAAGTGCACGTTAAACAGCGCCCAGTTTTTTTGGCGATGGCGGTCGGGGTCGGTCAACTCGCTCCCAAGCCTGGTCGGTCATACCGGGTCATACCCTTCTTCTTGTCTTCTGAACTTGAGAGAACCAGGCCCCCCGAAAACGACCCGAACAGCCCGCAATGTATTTCCGTACGTCGCTTGTCGCTTTTATTGTGTGCGTTTTAGTGGGACGGAGTTAATTTTTATTTAATTGCGTCGAAAAAAGCGTAGCGATGATTTAGTCCCACCTTCCCCTGCACGCCCACGTCCGTGGCCCCCCATGCCCCCACCCCCTAGTTTAGTCCCGCTGAGCTCTGCTGACGGGTAACGGCTTGCCGCGCGCGCCATGCCACGCCACCCCCGCTGCCCGCCGCCTAGGCCGGCTAGACGGAGTAACGTTGTTTATGAGATTCGCATTGCATAGGATGGGCTGAGTCCAGTCCAGTCGGGTGATACAGTGATACTGGGATGACCGCATTGACGTCAGCAGCGAGCGAGGGAGCAAGAAAGGCGGCCGGGTGTGAGAGAGAGAGACAGAGAAAAACAGATATAGAGAGAGAGACAGGGAGCGAGCATAGCGTGTGTAAGAGTGGGATAGACATTCCCTTTTTTAGGGATAAGAGAGAGAGAGAGAGAGAGGGGGGGGGGGGAGGTGGCGAAAGAATGTTAGGGTAGGAGGGGTAGGGTATAGGTGTGTGTCGTGGTTCACATCGGTCACACAGAAGACTGTCTCGCAGCCCACACATCGCATCACGACGGGAAGAACGCAATCCAGAGCTTCTCCAAAGCTTAACTCCCCCGTCCCCCCTCTACACCTCTCATCCTTATCGCCACTCTCCCGTTTTTTGCGGAACGGTGTCCGACGAGGTAGGAGAAAGGGTGCCTCGGCTCGGAACAGGGTGTGGCGTCGGACGTCGGACGTGGAAGAGACTCTTGGCCGAACAAATGTACATGGTGCGGATCATGTGCCGGCGCACTACTCGCCGCGCTATCGGGCACTCGTGTTTTACCTGAGATTGCAATCGCTACCGTCACAGTATCGCTACTGGTATCTTCAGAGGGGATCGTCGTACCCACCTTATTTAAAAGGGCCCTTGTTTCACATAAGGGCTTTCCTTGAAACGGATGACAACTCGCGCGTCACTAACTCACAACTCAACTCATTCACGCCACCTGGGACTGGGTTACGTTAGTTGCGTATATTCAATATGGATTTGGTTAGAATCGCGCCGACACTTTCTCGTCGTATCTGCATGTGAGGAGACTTTTGTTTGTCCGTCGTACGACGAACTTCTTACATTTCGAGTGACTAGGTTTGGAATACTCATACTGACATAAGCTCCACGTATTACTATTATCTTGTTATTCGATTCGAAATACAGAGCTCCAATTTCCCCTTGCATAACTTTTTTTAACTTTTTTCGAACAAGCACACCGCCACTGTTCTAAAATTACTGTTAAAAACTAATAAAAGTTGTATTTAAAAGCGAAGTTTGATCTCTCCGCAAATCAGATCAAAGACGAGAGTTCTAACTGCAAAACTAAAACCTTGGAGCTTAAACTCGGAAACTGAAAATCATTACAGCTGAAATTGCAAAACTAAACAGGGTTTTTTTTCAGTTTCAACTATAAAACTTTTAGTTTTGCAGTTTGAAACTGTCATCGTGTTATAGAGTACCGTTCGGTTTGCAGAGTTGTATGAGCACCAGAAACTTTTCTTGAGAATAATTAAGGTCCAAGCGAGGAAAAATGAATGTTCTGCTCGTTCACTTCACTTTACTTATTAACCGTATGTCTCAGTAGACCTCTGGGCTTCGCAAGGCCAAAGCCTCGTTCGAGTCGCTGTCACTCCCCCTGGCAGTGCACAACGACACCGCTGTCTTCAAGTGCCGCTGAGGCGCACCGAGTTCCTTCAGGGATCCTCGAAGTTACATCGAGTGACGTGACAATGCAGTAACGTGAGTGAGCATGAAGGAAATTTTACTTTAAAAAGGATACCGAGGGTTCAACAACTCATCACAGAGCACAGTTAAAACCTTGCATAGCAAAATGCCAAATCCTTTGCGATTCAAAGCATTGTTCCGTAGTTGCAAACGTTTTGGCATTTTGCTTTGCAAGGTTTTAACAGTGATCTTTTTCTAGTGTACAGGGGATTAAAGTCGAAGTACACGGAGTACAGCCGGAGCACGGGGAGTACAGCCGGAGAACAAGGAGTTCAGCCGGAGTACAGCCGGAGAACACGGAGTACTACCGGAGTACGCGGAATACAACCGGAGTACAGCCGGAGTACATCGGTTAACGACCGGAGTTAGCCGGAGTGTAGCTAAATTTGAGCCGGAGAACGAGTTGTCGACCCCTCGAAACATACACCCTCTGTGCTGTGGAGAGCGAGGGAGCCGGGAAGGGGGGATGGGGGGGGGGCTTTACCTTCTGGTAGAGACAGTATTGAAAGTAAGCTAATTTCGTTCCTAAAAACAAACTTTGAGGAATTGGCTTTCGAGCGTATCTGACGGAACCATAGACGGCACCAAACTTTTCCCCCGTGAAATCAACGGAACTTTTCTTTCTAAATAAGTGTGCATCTACAATGAGGATTGCAGGTATTGCAGTAAAAGACTCCGCGAGAAAGCGGGGACGTACACAGTCACACACCGGCAACAGCGTACATAGCGTCGTCTCGTGGAATAATATTTTCATAGTGATTTAACACAGCACACACACACACACACGCACATGCATACACACACACTCTGCGCTTGCGCTTGGAATGGGCAAACATCTTCCCCTCTCTTCCCCTCTCCCCTTCTCCCCCGGCGTCGGCCAGCACGACCCCTGCGATGCCCGCCAGCCTATCGGACTTATCCGTTCAACCCGTCTCGTTGTCGAGTCCCGCCACTCGGACTTTTCCGCTCAGTTTCTGGACGGCCTGCCACTGGCTACGTCACTGAGGCCCTCCCCTCCCTCAGCCTCCTCCTCAGCCTCCTGGACGGGACGGCCTGCAGTTCCGCGCCGTCACGAGAAGACCCCCCTTAACTTAACGGCCTGCAATCCGTTCCGTCTCGCAACCCCCGGACGGGTTGGAGCTGTTCCGTCTGTCTAAATACAATCACCGATATCGCTGATATCAAGCAGGAATTGCTTTTATTTTTTCTTTCTTTTGTAAATCTATAGACTCTCTCCCCAACCTTTCCTTAACCTATAGGACACTAGCCCTCGCTATCTGAAGTGTCTTATGTTTTCAAAATGTAATCTCTATCGTCAAACGAATTTATCCCTCCCCACTCCAACTATCTCCCTGCTCATTCCCTTTGAAAACCTGACAGTACAAGAGTCCCATTTTTCCAACCGTGCCAACGTTGGTGCAATATTGAGACTCGCCCCAGGACACGATTGTTCCATGGTATTGGATTCT